AGCTAAAGGAAACCCGAACTAAGTCTAGTCCATGTTTTCCAGCTAACCAGCTATGTTTCTGGTAATTGTCAGGTGCTAAAATGAAAGATAAAGTTTATTTCACTGATACCTGAACTTGCTTCTCCTTACATTGGTTAATCAGTTTCTTCACATGCACACAGGTGGCATCTTGATTCAAACCAACTTCAAAGAAGCTGCACTTTACCACTGTGTTTTGAATTAATGTAGTCGGAGCAAAACAGATGTACTAAAACTGAAAGTGAAAACCAACCTCCCGTTTAAAATATTATTCATACTTTATATAAAGGCCTCTTTACCAATCTAAACACAGCCCAAATAATACTCCAGTTTGTCCAGCCTAACTGTTATGCTGTTGTCAGGCTTGTTACAGTGAGGTCTGATTTCTCAGATTGCTTTCAAATACCAATACTTTATTAATCTCTCCATTTTTATACACCCCTGTTATAAAGTCATCAGAAAAAAATTGCTTAAGGAATGAGAAACAATAATTGGGGGTGGAAGAGTACATGAGTTAAAAAACAACCTTTTTCATAGGGGTTCATTAGTGTTGTCCTCAAAAATGTGATTCTATAGATTTAATGTAAAGAAATGGAAATTACAAGCAAATGGAAATGAGTGAGTTTTTTCTACCTATTTCAATTCAGCTAATATTTCATGAATAAGGGTTAGACTAAAAAGAACAACAGATGAAAAGTAATATATGCTGCATAACTGTGAGGTTAAGCAGGCTGAGTACATAGCTGCCTGAGCTCGCTCTGCCAGCTAGAGAGCAACAAAGGTCTTGACCACTTTCTCTTGGATGAGTCCTAACCTGACATCTATGAGCAAGGATAATATAATTAGGATGGTCTTTTCTTCCTCTGCCCTGACAGCCATATAGAAGTCAGCTAATTTAGCAACAGGAGAGAGGAGCTACTGTTAAGCCACCTGGCCCCCAAGTTTGTTTCACTGCAAGACTCTATCATAGTTAGACTCCAGACTGAGGCTGCTGCCCACATCTCCTTAGCTTATGTTAATTTGTGTAAACACATTTAGTTCTGATGACTGAAAACCTGTTTCTGTGTTACGATGCAATGCTTGGTGAGTAGAACTAGTAAGTTTAGATGGACATTTCAATGGAATGAAATCAAGGGTTATTTTGTGCTTTATCTACATTTGTGATGGCACGCTAATGAAGATGGCTAAAAGCTTGAGAGGTCACAGTGATTTTTTTTTTTTTTTTGGAGGAGGGGGGATTGCAATACACAGGATTCTTGTGATCCCTGCCCAAATAAAGTTAGTTTTTCTCTACATATAAATACATAGCATAACGCAGTAAGTTAGGGCTCTCTACAACCTCTTGGAACATAGCAGTCCTGGACAATGCTTTGTGAGGCTGTAGCCTGTAGATGGCTATTAGGCTCTGCACTGTGTCTCTTTTGATGGGTACAGTGGGGAGAGAAAGTGCTTTCCAGTGACTCCAGAGTCTCCAAACCTTCTTAGAGACCCTGTGCTGAAAACCTGCTTAGAGGAAGAACTTTATCATGTAAATGGTTTATCTGATTTTCTGAAAGTCCTTTGCATTTAGGAATTTTCTCAGGAGTGGAAAGGATTTTTAAAACTGGTGAGCCAGTGAAATTTTGTATCAATGGGATCAGTATGTCTTGGGACAAACAGGGTGCAGCATCTGTGGATCACAACACAGCTTCTGAGGTTCATGGGAACCTCAGTGGAAAAGAATTTGGACTCTACATCTACCCACTGACACTAAATATAACCTTCTGGTAAACATTAAAACTTCAAGGGCTTTGTGGCTGATGATCACGTTGAATGCCAGGACATCCAGTGAGAGAGTAGGGTGGAAAACATAAACACAAAAAGAAACCTAGGGGGAGGGGAAGGGTTTGAAAGCTGGTGGAGAGAATGGCAGAGATTTTGGTGACTAATGTTTTCTGCCTGGTTCAAGGGTTTGTCAAATCAATAAAGATGAAATATTCATAAGGCTGAGATAGCTTAACTGCTAGTGTACCAAACACAAGAAACTATGGATTGCTCTAGCACGTTGTGTTCTAGCAGAGAACTTCACCTTAAAACACTGTACTCAGAGCAAGGGCCTAGGGACAAAAGGCAGATGCTGCTTCCTTGGCTGTTCCATCTTGCTGCTTCTGCTCAGAATAGTATAATTGGCATCCTCTCCACTATGGTTTTTGCTTTGGACATTTGAGCACTGAAATCTGGCTAAAACTATCAGAAGGACTTCACAGGGGGCACCAAACAGTTGGAAAATAATACCAGCTTTAAGTCCCTACCAATGTGGGCTGGATTTGACCCAATAGTACTTGGAAGGCTCTACAGCTCTTTACCAGACCATAAGCTCAACGATCTAGTCTATCCTTCCTCCAAGCATGAAGAGCAAAGCCTTTAGTTTCTGAGCACAATAGCAGACAAGGACAAGCAGGTCATCAACTGCGCTGTTTAAATATCTCTAGCGCTATCATCAGTATCTTCTAGCCTGCAGTACTGTTGTTAGCCTTTTGTTCACCCCTGAATACCAGCTCATCTAGTCATACAGCACATGGAAGAAGTTCCACTCTGTAGCATAAGTTTTTGACTGTTTCTCAGGAAACAGGTTTGGGAGTTACTGGAGTAGCTGTTTAAAGCACCTTGCATGTGTACCTGGAGTACTTTCCCCACTGCTTGGTGAGGGGGACAGCCATCACCCTATCCATTTGACAGATGGGCAGACTGAAGTGTATGTGTTACTTAACTAGTTTGGGACCACTGGAAAGCAAAGGAGACCCAAACCCCTTGTTCTAAATTGGTAACACCCATTATGTATTTTGTAAAAACAAACATTTGCCGGTCCTGAAAGTCACTGTTCTGTTAGCTTAACTCCTTGTGTCACAAACTTTTTTCAAGCTTGTCATAATTTCTTTTAAAGAAAAAAAAAAATTCAAACACCTTGGAAAACATTCTGCAAGAGGAGTAAGAGGCATTTAAGCCTGTTTAAAACTCCATCCAAACAGAGACAGACCTGTTGCCAGTGAGGAGGGAAACTTGGCAGCTTTGTTTAAAGCTTCCCACACAGACACTGGAGACACAAGAAAACAAAGAAGCTGTAGTCCCCGAGGGTCCTGCCACTCCCAGGGCAAAACTAGTCCCTTCCCTGCTTTTCCTCTAGCTCTCGGACACGCACATGCTCTCTTCTCCCAGTGCCATTAGCTACAGCAATAACCAATTAAGCCCTACAGACCTGGAAAAAATACAGGAAATGAAGAGTTAAAAAAAAAAAAGAAAGAAAAAAAAAAAAAAAAAAAACCCACCCACCAGAACTTGGAGGCAAGCCAGAGTCCCCAAATGACTCGGCTCAGCCGGCAGCCTGGAGTGACACTCCCCAACAGCCCTGCCCTCCCTCCTCTCCCCAAAGGGTGGGCATGCCCAGCCCTCCTCTCTTTATCAGAGACAGGAGTTCCCCTTTTTGGTCTCTAGTTGGTTTGGGAGCCCAGAAATATTGCTAAATTTATCTTTTGCTTTTAGGACAATGGCAAATGACAGAAATAAGAAAGCAAAAGAACTGAAAATTAATGGAGACAATTCCCTGTAAGCCAAGTGGAAATACCTTTTCTGCATAACTCCCAGGGAGGCAAAAAGCAGTTACACAGTGCAAAGCAGGGCAGGCTGCCTGGGGTGCCAGGAACATGCTGTTCCTTTGGCTGCGCGGCACAGAATTGTCCATCCATATGCTCAAACTTGATGGGTCTGTCCTCCCTCCCACAGAGAGGAAAATATACCCTCCATTTAGAAGGGCTCTTGCTTTACCTCAGGAAAGCAGCAGGAAACTGAAGGCACACTGAAAAGGTACAGCCAGTGCGGGTGAGACTGCCACCACTGAGCTGAAACTGTTCAAGCTTCATTAAGTCACGTTTAGTTCTGAGAATCTTTTCTCTTAATGCTCTTTATAAATGAACTGACCATAGATCTTAGTAAATTAATTTGTTCTTTGAAATTACTCAGTGGAACATCTTGCACAATCCTGCTTGAGATGGTGTGGTGCCTCGCCGTATGCACTATGATTAGTGCCTTTCAGCAGAAATTGATCTCCACAATTTTTGGTGTTCCCTGTCTGACTGGAAGCCATCCGGTTCCCCAGCACCAGGCAGAGGCACGAGGTCTGGCAAGTCACGGGGTCTGTTTCAAGATGACCCTCCTAATACTTTCCGTGCATAACTTTCATAGCGCTTGCAAGACTTCCACTTTTTCTATGTGTGTGTCTCGTAAATTACAATAGCAACAAAAAAGTGGTCACATAAGTCTTCACCAAGAAGTGAACACTGATCAGAACAACTTAGTGTTTGCATTCAAATGCTTTGTTTTGAAATCGGTTTTACCCAGCAGCCAAAAGCTTTTTTTTGAGACTGCCCATGTCCCCCTCCCTCTACGCTTATGACAAATGTCTCCTTCTGACTCATATTAAGCCTCTCAACTCCCTTCCTGCCTACTCTAGCTTTCACGCAAGTGTCTGCTAAAGAAAGAAACAGACACAGAGTCATTCAGTACCTCTAGAACATTTAATTTTAAAATATCAAGCGAATTGATGCTTGAATGGGAAGTGACAAGCTGGTATAAAGGTAGTGACAGAAGCATGGGGTAGGAAAAAGTACATAGGGGAGGGTAAGAAGCATTGAAAAGGGAAGTAGAAGATGCACTGAACAAGGCGGCTAGCAGCTAAAAATTACAGCTTGGTACAATCCACACAGTCGACCCACACACCATTCCCTGTGACATTAAGTAATAAAAAAGGGCAGCATTAGCTTTGAATCTATGCCCATTAAGGGTTTATTCCCAGAGGGGTTTTTTTGTTGTTGTTTGGTTTCCCCGAGCTTGAGTTCTGAGATGTGAAACCATAATGGTGACCAAACACAAGTTTGGTTTTGTTTTTTCAACATTCATTTTAATTATCAAGCTGTAACAAATAAATCTCTGGCTGGATTGTAACTAACCTGTGTGGGTCCTTAGATGAGCTTTAAGATGGGAAGATTTGCCATAAACTTTTTCACAGCCCACATAGTGGCATTTGTGCTTTTTCTGGGGTGATCCAGGGTCAGTCCAGCTTCTCGTGCGTTTGTTCTTTTGTCTGGGGCTTGGCTCAGTTACTGCAGCCAGGCTGGTAGGTGTGGCTGCTCTTCCTCCTCCACGCTTACCAGCCGAAGACACACTTTCTTCCCCAAACTCTTTAGGAGCAATGGAAATGTGTATTTGTTCTGTGATATCAAAGGTCTCTGTTTTTTCCATCCTTAGAGCGGATGAGTTTGGGACATGCTGGTTCAGATCTGCTAAAATGCTAGCTACCACAAGTAATGATGATCCATTGTCTTTCCCGGTTTCTCTGACTTCCCGCTTATCTTCTCCATTTGATGAGGGAGGTATTGCTGCATCAGGTTGGGGATCAGGCTCCCCTTTGGGACTGTGGATAATAGCACGACTGGACATAGAAACAAGGCACTCTGCTGCAAAATGATCCACATATGCTGCTGTTGCCATTTTTCCTAAGTTTAAAAAGAAATCCAAACAGAAGAGGGGGGAAAAAAAACCCAACCCACAACACTAAGACTTTCCCCTTTCCTATTTCTTAGGATCTCTTTGTAGAAGTAAAGGCTGATTTAGCAGCCGTCAAAAATGCACTTTGTTCATGACGAGCACACCCAGCTTGTCCCTCAATCAAAAAAGCGTTGGAAGTCCGATGGAAGGGAAGAAGAGGAGCAGACAGATCCTGGCGCTGGCAGCTTGTTGCTTGGAGTATGAATTAATGCTGGTTTTCCGAGAACGCAACAAAATAAAGACGCGGTTTCCCCAGCCCTTCCATTGCGTTGTGACAGTAGAATAAGCTTTCCCCGTTATCGCTCCTCGGAGTCGTCCGGACCCCTGCGGGGGCGTGGCCTGGGAAAACATCTGGGCCTGACGTCACCGCGAAGCCACATCCTGCGCCGATCAGGTTGGCGGCGCGCGGGGCCGGGGGCTCGGCGGCGCGCGAGCAGGGTTGTGCCCGCCAGCGCGCCTTTAGAAGTTTCCTTCGGTCTCCCCGCCCCAGCCAACCAGAATAGCTTGCCACAGGCAGGCGGGAAAACGCACGCGGCCGCCCCCAGCAGAGGTCTCGGAGGCCCTGCGACCATTAAGCTCCCGGGCCTTTTCACAGGCCGTTGTCTCTGAGGGACGGTAACGATTCGGGGCGCGCCGAGAGAGCTTGTACTGCTAGGGACGATTTAACAGGCGCTGAACTGTTAAAAGGAAGAGAGTAAAAAACGTTGTAGAGTTGGAACCGATACAAGTGACAGGAAACAGTGAGACTACCCTGTTCGGTTTACAGCTATACAGATGGAGTTCCTGTGTGGACTTTAATAGGTTCTGACAGGCTTAACTGACTGCCAGGGAATACACTTGAAGGTGCCTTCCTTTCTGTCCAAACTCTCCTTGCCATAGCACTCTGCTGCCTCTAAATTATTTAAAAGTGCAAGTGAAAATAACTTGCTTTTCATTATTATTCTCAGGTTGCAAATGATACAGCTCAGCCAGTTTTATAGAGATTAATGACTGAATGAACAAGAGAGTTGCATTTGTGACTAACTTAACCAAGCAAAAGTAAAGAAATGCAGACCTGAAAGAGGTTAGTCTGTGGTGCTTCTTACCTTTTGTTGGAACATGTTTCTCCAGACTAATTCCTGTGAAATTTCTGTCTTTAGTACAGATGGACCTTTTCACTGAGACAGAGATGGTCAGAAAGCAGGAGGGCTTCCTTGGAAGCCTCTCTTTCTGGATAGAAAATTTTGGAGTTTGAGAGGGTGGGAGATGAAGTGAACATCTGTTGCAGAAACTCAAGATAGTTTTGGTTGAGTAAAAAGCTGGTTTCATGCACACGTAAATGTCTTCTTCAGGAGCAACAGCTGCTTATGCTACCACTGCACTTTATGAAAAGAAACATGCCTTAGGTTCTCATGCAACACTTCCCCTCTGGGTCAGGCTCATTGGTAACCTGTGTCTGCCACAGTGCTCTGTATCTGTGCTCTCTTAATAGTACAGCCTGTGGTGCTATGTGGGACTTAAGTCACTGCAGCAAAAGGAGAAATAAGGCATACAACCAGGGTGGGAGGATGTGGTTTAATGCTGAATCGAGCCAGATCACTTTGATGCAGACATATCATACCATTTGTTCTGCTGAGCATATCTACAGGAAATGTTTACACATTTCCAAATAAAAGGGTTGAGTTTAGGAGTTAGCAATTTGTTCCTAGATGAAAAAGGAATTCTGGGGAAAACATTTTTATAAGAAATGTTAGTTGAGTTCAAGCTCAACCTCCTCTTCGAGGGAGGAGGATTGCTTAAATAGATCTACCTGGCAGTTTTTTAGAATTAGTACTAGATTCACCACCTCTGTGCCTGGGAAGATCATGGAACAGATCCTCCTAGAAACTACACTAAGGCACATGGAGGCCAGGGAGGTAATTTGAGATAGCCAGCATGGCTTCACCAAGGGGAAGTCCTGCCTGACGAACCTAGTGGCTTTCTATGATGGTGTGACAACAATAGTGGACAAGGGAAAACCAATGGATGTCATCTATCTGGACTTCTGCAAAGCCTTTGACACGGTCCCCCCCAACATCCCTCTCTCTAAATTGGAGAGCTATGGATTTGATGGGTGGACTGTTCGGTGGATAAGGAATTGGTTGGATGGTCGCATCCAGAGGGTAGTGGTCAACGGCTCGATGTCCGGATGGAGACTGGTGATGAGTGGTGTCCCTCAGGGGTCCGTACTGGGACCAGTGCTGTTTAATATATTCATCAATGACTTAGGCAGTAAGACCGAGTATACCCTCAGAAAGTTTGCAGATGACACCAAGCTGAGTGGTGCAGTTGATACACCTGAAGGATGGGATGTCATCCAGAGGAACCTGGACAAACTCGAGAAGTGGGCCCATGTGAACCTCATGAGGTTCAACAAGGCCAAGTGCAAGGTCCTGCACCTGCGTCGGGGTAACCCCCTGTATCAGTACAGGCTGGGGGAAGAAAGGATCGAGAGCAGCCCTGCCGAGAGGGACTTG